TATTGTTAGAAGTTTAATGTTACCAACATCAAAGTGCAATTAATTAAAAGCTACACATCACCAAATAATTTTATGAGAAAAACTGAAGTCAAAAAGAGAATTGCTATTGCTTAATTTATATATGGATATATATATCATTCATCAGTGTTCTAATGTTAGATTTTGGATAGATGAAGGAGAAAGTAAGTTACACTTTCTGATATGTTCATTCATTACTCCTGAATATACATTATTTCTTAATGATGTATACAATAGCGCCTGATGTAATTTATATAAAATCAATAGAAAATTTTCAGGATTCTATGCAAAAACAATAGTAAAGTAGAATTAGTAAGTGATGTGTACAATTTTATTACCATTTCCCGTTTATTAGATTGGATTTTTTGTAATTTCATAAGCAAATTGAGAGTCTAATCAATAAACCAGTAAAATACTCTGTCAGATTTTATTAACAATCAATTTTCTTAGCAAGAAAGCGTACATAGTACAACTAAAATAAACATTTGTCCAAAAATCAATAGTTTTTATTTATTCATAGTTTAATAAGTTTACAAAAATAGTTATACTAGTTGTTATGGATGTTAGATGCCCAGGACTCACTTGGCAAAAGTAATTTATTGCTGAAATTTCTATTTTTTATGTTTTCCCATATATGACGCTTAGTTGACCATTAGCTTATATATCCCACTCCGAAAATCATTGACTTTCACTGGTTAATGGATTATTTTAGTATGCTATTTTGTGGCTCTCCCAAGGACTTGTCTATCATGTATAAATAAGCTTGATTTGTGTGCTTAGCAACCTCGTATTTTATGGGTGCTTGTAGAGTGCACGCTCTACGCCTTATCAAGACTTCTTGATCTAGTTAGCCGGACCGGGGACAACGGACTAGAATAGCCTATCGTGTCACTGTATCGTTGACGTTCGTTCCGTTTACTGAGCAAGGTGAACGAGTAATAGCATTCAGGCATATCATTTGGCGAGCATATCACTAGACAACTAATAGAAGTCTGAATTTCAAAAGCAATTATAATGTACTTATCTGTGTGATATGGATTTAAATGTATAACAGATATATGTATGGTTTACAATAGTTCAAAACATAAATGATTTTATTGTATCTGTATGTTTTAAGACGTTTATCAGTTGATAGAAAATATAAAAATCAGTTATCTACTTGCCTACGTTTTGTTTACATTAACGGATCAACGTAAATAAACCCATTCAGATTGTACACTGTCATCTATCTCACCTGCAGGAAATTCAGAAATCGGGGGACACTAAAAAACTGCTTCCGGATTGACGTCTTCAGAGATCTAGCTTATAGTCGTATGGTCTCTTAGTAAATCCTTAACAGAATAGAGTTATTAACCTACGAACTCTATTCAAATGTGTAGGAGCAAAATAAATAATTTTTAGGAAGAATTTTTGTAGCGAGTGCATTTTTAGAGTTGTATGATGCAAACATAAGCATTTATTTAGTTTTAAATGAACCAAAACGTGTATATTTATTAGAATATTATTACGGTCATTTGTTATTATATAAGATTCACTACGTAGTTCCAAGTAAATGGTCACAGAAGGGAGAACATATGAAACGTAAGATATATTTTCCTGGAATAGGGGTTTTGTTAGCGTTTTTCCATAGTTAAGAATGCAGTTACAAATTAGTTAGATCATGTCTGGGAAATAGGAAGTACGTGATACTTGTACGCCCTGACCGTGCACTCCTCATATACAGCGAGATAAGTTATCCACAATTATTCACTGCATGTAACGGAAGTTTGTCACATATTATCGACAACCGGTTAAACTTAGGTATATATGCTATTACATGTTGTAATCATCAATCAATCATTGATAGATCGCCATTAAAAACCGGAAGTATTGGACGGCCGTAACCTTCTGGTATGGGACTCATCAGAAATGCTCATCAACGACTCCTGCACCTAGCATGATTCGAACCCAGGACCTTCACCCGCTGGACCATGGTGCCTGCATCCAACGGTGTTAGTGTCTAACTCTGATCAATTTAGAGATTTTGTGCGAACTCACCCATTTGTCTTTTGTAGTTACCGGCAACACCTAACAGGATTGAACTCCAGTAATCACATATTCTAACTAGAACTGCGAGGTGCAGGAGTCGTGAATTCTGGCTGTTGATGAGTCCCATACCAGGACGAAATGGTCGTTCAGTGCTTCCACGTTCTTGATGGTGGTCTAACAAGGATTTTTTGATGATTTCAAAGTGTAAAAACACTTATCTCTATAACTCTAATTGAAAAAAAATACATATGTACTATGAGATCCTTTTTTTTTGGTTTGATGACTAAGCATCTTTGCACGATGTCGAATGTCTTGATTTCGATCGCAGTGATGTTGTAGATATGCACTAGAACACAAAATCTATCCAGTGTTTTAAGGTTCTCATTCACTGTCGACCTAAGTTTGGTTCCTGAAGTAGTTTATGTCGATATATAATGGTCAATGTTGACAGTAAATGTGTGTTATTGGTGAGGTTATAGAGTATGTCTAATGAATGTTAATCGTAGGGTCTAAACAGAAATAGCTTTGCAATAATGGAATGCATTACCGAAAATGGGGACAGCTTTGGTAAAATCTGTGCTTATATCACCCATAGTATCCAACTATTAGTTATGAACTTCACCCAAGCAGTATCCTGTACCTGACAAAATGGCTAAGATCAATGGTTGAAGATTTCTTGAACTCTGATCATATCTTAATATATCTACCCTGAACGTCTTTGTTTAACTTCCTTTACATAAGGAAACACTATGTTTTGAGGTAGGAAGTGGTTTGGCAAACAAATAAAACTATGCTATAAAGTTACATAACTTTTAAGGAGATCAAATCTTGTAGAAAACATATATATTTATTCCATATTGTAAAACAATTTATAAAGATCTGTTAAACTCAGTAGAATGTAATCATTAAAACTAACAGTCCAGTGTAATAAAGGAATTTTTATCTAGTTATCTGGCTGTGATGAGACCCGATTGATGGTCTACATACATATATAATGTAACCCATTTTATAGCTTTTCTAAAAAATATGCTTATTTGTATATTTATACAGTTAATCACCAGTTGTATTCTGTCGAAATTTCATGGTCACAAAAAAATGAATTTGAATTGTTGTTCTGTTTTTAGTGTAAAGCAAAGAATATGATCATTTGTTTTCATTTCACTAATTATGTCAGCCTTTTCTCTTTTGGCAGTTAGCCTATACACACAAACGTACAACCAATATGTATATATATATCTATATTGTTTCGGTCATCATGGATATACTTCTTTTTAGTACACGGTTTAATATGAAATACAATTTGACGAAAAAAAACACATTTCAGGTAATTATCAGTGAAAAATTTCAATCTATATCTAAAGTGTTGACATTAAACAAACTGGTTAACTTTTTTGCTTTGGCCTTATGGCCTTATATATAATTAATCTTAATATCGATAGCGATTTGAATAAAAGGAAATTAATATTACTGATACTATTACTACTATTACTCCAAATAATAATAACAGTTCACAATTATTCAATTCACAATATCTACGACTATCTAATTTCATTTTGAATCGGTTGACTCTTTAAAACATACAAACCGCCATTTTGATTATGTAAGTACAAAGAGTAAAGTTGTAGCCTTGAAAATTATCAGAAATGCCCCCCTATTCACCTAGATAAAAACCATTATTTATAGCTACTATAAATGAATTTATTTGTTATGCAACAATAAACTACTATGCAATGTGATTTTTTTTATTCAAATAAATGTAAAATAGAATGAATAAATTAGCAATAATTTTCTTTGAAAATATAAATATATAAGATTATATGAATGCCCTTGTATATTTTGATTTGCATGGCAATCAATGGACAACAACATTCAATGACGTGTATATGATTGAAATAACCTAATCACTTGGTTCAATAATAAACTAGTCCGATCTATTTTCAGGTGAATAATTAGAAAACATATAGCCGTTATGTTAAGTAACAATCATCTGCATAAGGTTGAATAATATTTATATATTTTATTCAATTATGAACAAAGTCATTAGTGAATTAACTTCATGGCATGAATTACCAATTATTTTCATACCTTTGAATCGACATTTTCATTTTATCTAAGGTACTAGTGAATTCATTGATAACGATAAGTTAGGAATTATTGTTTCAGAATTTGAATAAACTATAACATTGACACAATGATGTTATTGCATGTATTAAATGAATGGATCAGTTAACTGAAAAAGCAGCAATACAGTGTGAATTTGTCAGATTTCGCTTTTTACAAATACTCTGTTTCCTTTTGTATTAATTAATTAACATTAGATTTCTGTACCATTCTCAACAAGACTTCTTCTATACGCTGCAAAAAACGTACTACTCATAAGTAACGACATGTTATTTCCAAAAAATATCTTGGTAACTTTTACACAGAGAAGTTGACAACAAAAATGGATAGAATACAGAAAGTGAACATCATATGAACCGTCAATCTACTTCAGATCTTGACCATCACAATATCAGTTTATTATGATTATTATCAAACAGGTGGGTTCCATGTGACTTGAATAGCAAACCATGTGATTGACTTGCTGGCAGCTACTTGTCATTATTGAAATAATATTATTAAACAGTAACTGTCATGAATTGATACCTGTAAGATGAGTACTTATTTGAATTAACAAATATTTGGTATAAATATATCAATTCTAATTCATAAACTTCTCTATCATCAAAAAGTAGTTGCATTTTATTAACGACTAATATTGTGAAAAACCAAAATTGTTTTTGTAATTACTATTTCATAAATTATCTAAAATTCTGATTTTCTTTTCTACTGCGCATGATTGAAAAGACATATATTTATTAAACTATAGATATATGTAGGAATCAGCATAAGTCCACTTGAAAATCGTTTAATTAAAAATGAACAGATTAATATGAAAATAGGCAAACACTCACCACCAAGTCTCATAATTCTGACAATAGATGCATAAGCTTGATGAGTATACTCAACTGGTAGTTGTGTAATTTTAGAAAAACCAGACCAATCTGGTTGACGTAAGAAAAATATATACTGTTTATTTTTGTGTACATTAATCCAACATCGTCCAGGATCAGGAAATATACTGAATTGTCCAATTCGTAATAAATGATCTACACGAACTGGGAAAATACTATATTGTACACTTTTAAGAATATTTGTCACTAATAAACTAATATTATACAATGGACCAAATCGTCTACGATAAGTTTGTATTGGCCAACCAGTTATCACATAATCCGCTAATAAAGCACTAGTTTCTACATCATCACGAAAACGATATCTACATGGTCGTTTTTCATCCGGTGGTTTAAAGTGATAAATTGATCGGACTTGATGAGTCAATGTCGTAGGTAAGATATCATACGACTCAATCAAATCGTTTGTTGATAAATTAATATTTTCAATTGATGATGGTACATTTATCTGTTTGGAATATTTTGATAAGCATAAAACTGAATTGATAGTTAATAGTAATAAATATAATTTACTAATAGATGTAATACAAGAATAATGATAACTGGTTAATGGTTGATCTGTTCGATGATATTTTCTTTTTCGACGATGTCTTGTTTTGAATCTACCATAAATTGTAAGTAAACATTTCCAATAATTGTATACATGCAACTGATGTACAAATCCACTGAACACTTTGATATGTGTTGTTTTGCATTTCATGGTGAATTTTTTTGTAATCATACAGAAATATGTGTATAATGCAAATGGGCGAAACAAGATAGAATGTTTATTTTGAATTAAAGTAGCACACATATGTGTCATACATTTTTGATATATACTTCTAAATAATTGTAGGCTTATATGAGATGTTTGTAATAAATTCGCTGATTTATTTTTTATACATTTACAGATGTAATGAACCAGTTGATCAGGATAATTTTCGAATATTCGCAATATATTCAACAAATTACGAACAGATAACACGTACTGCTCAAGCATACATCTTCTTTTATGCCTTATCATTAATGACTTGTCGATACATTGTAGATGACATTTAAATAAATATTGAATTATTCTAAATATTAATAGGCAATAAATATTTGAAGTTTTTATGCATAAATATAATCCGAAAATTATAAACATTACATGTTTCATGTACATACCATATTGGTATAATACTTTGAATTTATAATATTGTACATTTTTCAATTTATTCACATGAATAAACAACCATTGTAAATAGGTTTGTTGTTGATTTACCGTTGAGAAATGTTCACTAGATTGATGCATTGAATAATTATTGTAGTCAACATAAAGGCGTATAAAAGTAGTAGACAAATCATTATAGCTCTTTACTATATTTGTACAAAGATGAAATAAATTTCTGAGGTAGTCGTAGCCAGTAGTATCGTTTGACTTGAACAACACATTTTCATTCATGTATATTTCAGTGGAGAATGGCAGAAAAATTGTTTGCAATAATAAAATGATGAGTTTACAACAGCAACTGTGCATCGCTTAATCGAAAACAGCATTTAATTAGCCATGTTTTTAAATGTGTATATTTATGTTATACAAATGTATGATACATTCTTCATTTTCATATTCTAGTAGACTGTGAAATTTTACACCAAAATCAGCTTTCCAGTTGATAAACTATTCATGATACACACAAAACACTTGTTTAATTTTTGCAATCATCATATAATTAGTACTATTAATGGATTGGATTATTCGCCCATTAGAATTAGAATCTATTTAACAAAAAATAATCAACAATATTTGTGAATGTGTGTATGGTAGTGTATAGTAGTGTATAGTTGTAATGACAACAAACTGACTGGAGAGGTCAAGGATAGTAAAAACAATATTATTAGTGTAGTTTTATTTCGAATGACCTTGTTTTGAATTAGTTTGTATTTATTATTGGCCTTTGTGCACATGCAATTTTTATTGTATGCTAGTGGATATACAAATAAAATGTACATGATTCGGTTGAATTTATTTTTTATTTATTTACTTATTTATTTTTTTTTTTTTTTAAATAATTTTGTATGTTCACATTCATCTATGCCTACAACACGAAATGGATGTTAGAAGAATACAAATGTAATAAACAAATGTAACATAACTTCAATTGGCACACAAGCACATAATTTGCAGACTTGGGATTGGTTCGAGGTTAACCAATATAGGTACAACTAAACATAACAATATCCCTAAAACAATAACTGATTGGTTTAAGATGTTAAAATACGATATGCACAATTTTTCCTCATTGAATATTCATGTATTTCACTGTGCTGTCATAAATAACCACACACACACACACAAAAAAAAGAACATCAGAAATGAAAAAAACTGGGCAAATATTCTGAGAAAATGAGACGCTATCAACTCAATCGACTAAATACATATTGGACAAACAATATGACACTCATAAAATGAAGTTTTCATTAATGAAATATTGATTATATTCGGAGTACTTACATATTAACCCAAATGAAGTTTCACAATGACAAGAAGAATGTTGTAAGCATTATGCATCGAAATCGTTTAAACGATTTACTGATAGAAAGTTTTACTTACTTAAAAATTGAGTCATGATTATACTAAATTCATTATTGAGTTATGGAGATCGGTTGTCTTTCATTGAAATGATGAACCAGTCATTATTAGAGCCGCATTCGCGCATGAGACTGAAAGTCATGTGACATTAGATGTTAGGTCCGATCATTGGTAGTGATATCAACCATTGTTGAACTGCACGAAATACGACTTCTAAACAGAGTTTTGGAAATGTATTATCCAAGTGATATTTACTTAGTTGCTGTACAATGCTTATGGATGTAGTATGTATTTTCAGTTAAATTGGGTGTCTATTTTTAGGACCGTGTGTAACGAAACTTCATGATTTTACCTAGTCAGTTTATAAGTGTTCTGAGATAGCAAACTACTTTAGCAAAATATTCCATTGAATTATATTTATCTATTTTATTATTATCCATTTTTATTTTGTCTTCGAGGATAACTTTTGAACAGGAGAAACTATCCGATCGATTTGACTTATGAAGCATAGAATCTTCAAAATGTCTGTTAATCTGTTAAAAATGAGCCTTGAATCTTTTATGTTTATTAAGTTGTACAAATTATTTCATCAGATGAATAATTCAGCATATAGAATTTTATATATTACTTGTAGACGTTTTCTGAAAATAATACACCATTATAAAAATCATATAAGAAATTGTGTGTTTCATCCAGATGCGTTTGTTGTAAAAAAAATAAGCATGATAGTTAAAACTCGATACAGATACTTAATAATCCTCGAGTAACTCTTTGTTTTCAATCTATAGTCTTGATCGGCTTGGCATGTTGCTTAGCCTCACTTTGCTAAAAGGTTTTTACGATTATCAATTCTATGTAAAAACCTTATCACTGAACTGTAAGATTTAAAAGAGGCAATCTGTAGCTACCAACAGAATTAAGTATGTCCATTCTGTTGTATTTCGAGCTCGTCAGATAATTCAGAATAATAATGCACACTAACAAGTCCGTGAATAATTAAACTCAATAAGATAATATTTGATTCAATCTTGTTTGATGAGATGAACATGCAGTTTAAATCTGTGTGTTTTATCAAACAAATGTTTTTTAAAGTTGTGATTAGAACAAATACTGTTTAATACAGTAGATAACTTTCAGTGTTAAGTATGTTTAACTGTATTCCAAATACACCATAGATCAAAATAAGACAAAATTATTTATACAGATATATATATGTATATTTGATATCTGGTAGTTTAATTGTCACTATGTAAATAATGTAGGCAGATCAGGTTATCAGGATGATTTATTTGCGTAAGTTAACACTTTGTGGACTTGATACGAATGATCGGTGAATAAGTGATTCATTTTGATGAATAATTTATATATGAATCAATGGGATAACGTCCTACACTGGTTTTGATGACAATTCATATGTACAAACTATAAACTGACAAGAGTAATTGGTCATCAGTTTGAAACATTATACATTTGAGACGTAGTTTCATCTACATGTTAAAACGTCACTAAAACTGGCGAAGGCGCGCAACATTGGCAATGAATTTGAAATTCTGGTTGTTTACACAAAAATAACCAACCAACTTATCAACAACTTGAAATAGCCACAAAGAAAACTGTTTGTTAAGAAAAGAAAACAGATATGATGTGTCTTAACTATCAATAAGTTAAAAACAAATTTATAAGTATTGCCTGTATCAAAGACTACATATTCTGTAACATAATTTATGCTAAAAAACTATTCTAATTTTAAAAGTAAGCTCAATGTATTACAAGAACTTTATTCCGAGTTTTTTCGAATATTTTGACATAGTTATCTAAATTAGATTTTTGAATGTGTTTGCTATCACATTGAACTACAGCACGAATGTTACTATAAACTATTTTAGAAACTTAATTGCATCAAACTGGTTTTTTTAACGTAATACAGTTTCAAACAGTAAAAAAAGTCAAATATGAAACGATCCGAATGAGTGATCCGAATGTTTAGTACATCTATCACGAAAAAAACATGTAATTCTTTCTGTTCACCGTTTCTATGCAAACATTAATGTCATCTTGCATTTACACAAGTCACTGTATATGGAACTTATTTACTTTCATTAAATCTTTACGGCTAACTGATAATTGTCCCTCTATCTATGTGCATTGTGTACCGTTTTCATACGACACACTCTAATAACAACTTGTTTCATTTGATTAACAATTCATCCATGTCCAGATGATACCTATTTTGTTGTCAACATTATAGCCTATCTGAAAATGCTAGTTAACTGAAATTGTAGTGGAATACATTGTCATTACCAATATTATTAATATATATATTATTACAATTATTGTCTCTTACCATGTAGCAAGCCGCTTTTTAGTTATAGTACTAAATTAGAAATAATATATAATATTCATTGAAAATGCCAAAGAAAAATTATTTAGTTCATTTATATTATTGCTATTAGTTTTTTTAGTTTTAATAATGATGAAAGCAAGCTTTTATTCACTTTTACACATCTAATTTAAGCATTTTAGGATGATGTTAAATTCAAATTTTCAATAAATTATGAAGTTAACTAGTCCCATTTATAATTTTGCTGATTTGTAATACTTGTAAATTTTTTTTTTCTGTTTCAAACCATCTATTTCAAGCTTTATTACAATAACGATATTTAATTTGCCATTTTTAAAGTAATCATGTATGTTGACTGAAAAATTACCAATACGAAGAAATAGGAAGTGAATTCAGAACATTTTGTGAACATATTTTTTATTGTCCTTCCTTGTTTTAATTCATAAAATACAATTTAACTGTGACGAAAATATGAAAATTTTCTAGATTGCCTAGATTACTAGACTGATGCATCAAATCTAAGCCAATCCTATGTTTAGGGTTAGAGAGTAGAAGACATATACATGTCAGTATAAATTAAAGACAATTGACACTACTGTATTTTAATAATTCATCTTTATTTGTTGGTTGGCAGTAGGTGATTGCCTGACAGCGACCATTCGATGTGCAGATACTGTACCTTCAACAGACCAGGCTAATACGAAGAAAACAAATGTTTCTCTGTCTTTCCATCCAGTCAACAATAATATATAGTGTAAACGATATTGAGTAAATGAGTTTAGTGGTCATACTACTGATTATTCCGAAAATTGTATCTTGGTCCTTAGGACTAGATATTTGTAAAGATAGTTAGCAATCAGTGATCGGTCATTAAGAATCGTTTTAATACCAAACTATTCGAATCATTACTGCTGTTCCATAACTTACGCAGATGATATGTGAGTGAGTTTTCATTATTTTTGAGTAAAAAAAACAGTGTTTTTGTCTACCAATCGATATTTTGATAAAACAATGAGAAGACGTAATTGATCTGAAAAATGTGATGTATTTTCGTTATACATTTCGAACAATCTGGTCACACAAATTTACTTGTCAAGGCATTTTATATGAAGATTAATAAAAGGTCAATTAAATAAAAGTTCAAATAGACATAAGGTGATGATTTATTTACATAAAGTAGAGAGAAAATTGTTGTAATGTGAAAAGAATAAGAAAGGGTAAGAAATTGTCACATTACCCTAGGCTAAAAGATTACCAGGGTAAATTCAAGGTTATAACAAATTGTTTCTGTACACATAAGGGGGGTTTTCATTTTCGAATAGCCAAGGCCTCTATAAACTAGAAAATTCGTTCTTCAACATTTCTATACAATGTTTTATGCCCTGTCTCAATTATGTGTTTTGCGATCGATGAACATGGTTTTCTGTTTCCCATACTGATCGGCTCATTTGAAGTAAACTGATTTTGAAGCCAATTAATTACATGTTCCATAACCTTCGATTGCAAAGTTCGATTACTCCTCCCTATGTATGTGTCCACACAATCATGTAAGTTGATAAATGCAATGAGATGTAATGTAATCATTCGAGCAATGTTTAGGCCTATGTAGAATCATGGGTTTAGTCTTTTCAACTACAATCAGTTTAGCAACGTAGCATGTTTTCTCTATGGCTGCTTTTAGTCTCTGTCTTAAGATTAAGCCATTTGTTTCACCTCTAAATGGTAAAGTGATATAAACCTTTTTCTTCTCAGCAGAATGAAAAACTTGCTTTTATCTCAACTGATTTCTACACCTGTTGACGAACTTTAGCGAATGGCCGTTTGAAATCAATGTTTCAGTTAAGAATTTTGCATCGTCTTTAAATGTATCTGTGATGCAAATCCTTCGAGGCTTACTGAAGAGACCAAATTGTTCGAAATGCATAGCGCAAATACATCACATTTTTCAGATCAATTACGTCTTCTCACTGTTTTATCAAAATTTTTGAAAGGGACTAATTGTTTTATATTCATCGACACCTCTACAGTCACTTTGAAATGCTATGCATAAAATGGTATGGATCATTCTATAGACAAAGTGCTGAATATATGTATGTAAATATATATAATTGAAACTAAACATGAAAAGTATTTTTCGGAGTCTAATATTATTACAATGACACTAGTCTCGTTTATGCGGTGCCGTGTTTTGCTTTACTATGAACTACCGACTGCATGCCTATTCATTAAGGAACATTTAATGAATAGTAACACATAACCATTTGAATATTTTGCATATAATGTAATAATAAAACACTGTACAACTAATTATTGATGAGTGCTAGATTTAGATTTCAGTCCTAAGGCTAATTTGAATGCACTTACATCCAGCTGATAGCAATTGTTTTTTTGAATGATAGTGTAGATAAAAAAGGTAATAACTAGAGAACAAAATATTATCTTATTGAAAGAAAACAGCAGAAAGGTACATGAAGCATGTATTGACTTGTTTATGAAGTAGAAAGATATAAATCGAATAATTAACTTGAAATGTTAATAGATTAGTTAATCAATAAAACAAACTTGATAGATGTTAATTTCAAGAAAGCCGTTTACTTAATTTTCACTGATAATTAGTAATATTTACATAACGAAAATTTGATTGATAAGAAAAATATTTTGTAGATGAATCAAACAGTTTTACAATGTTTTACAGGATGAGTTGCAAAAAATTATTCAAATTGATAACAATATTGTCAACCAATTTTCCAGACAATGAGCAAATATTCTTTCTAGAACAAAAAGACGATAGTTGGTAAAGTTGAATGATGTTTAGAAAATTTTAAGATATTTATTGGTTCATTATTAGTTTTGTGTTTCGAGTTTTGTCGTCATATATAGCAATATGGACATCATTAAACTGAAAAAGAATTTATTCTCATTAATGATTTCGTTCTGAATTTTTATTGTGGCTGCATATATGCTCATGGAAAACCCATACTCGCCTATAATATCTTCATTAACAAACTCGTAGAGGATTTGTGAAGATAAAGTCAGAGAAAAATCTACATTGTCATCATAAAGAATTGTGTAAAAATGTTGTTACTTAATTAAGGAATCCCTACTTCACCTTAAAATGTTAGTTTGTGTTTGACTGCACAAATAAACAAGAACGTCTCGTTATTCATGAATTGACATAAGCTTACGTGATTTAAAGAAACATACAGACAAATAGACAATTTTATAAATGGTTAACTTAAGGCTATTCGAAATGTTACTAAATATTATTGCATATATTGGATGTATTATTTCAATAGTGATTTGATCCGTCACAGCACCTTGGATGAATAATAATCAATACTGAGAGGTTCAAAACCACAATCAAATGAGATGTTTTATGTCTCCGTATAGTTCTACTGATTATCTAACTATAGACTGTGATGTAAAATAATAATTAATAATTATTTAATAAAATTTATTTATTTAACTTTATTATTCAAATTATTTTAAAACGTGGAAACATAAAAATCTATGCATAAATATGTAGATGAGTACAGTTTGTTGATGCATAGAATGTGTAGCCATAAATGATATATCAGCGTATATATATACATATATATTATTTTCTGCGAAAATATTAAAATAAAATCTAGCAGTGCATAACCAAAACTTATTAATTAATCATTGAAAATTGCTTTCTTGTCTTTATCCATTCAAAAAAATGGTTTAGGACATATTTTAGTGCATCATTATTCCAAAACGACGCTTTTATCATTTCATAGGTTGTCAATTTTTTCCCGTATTAGAAAAAGAATTACAACTAAGCTAATCTAACTTTTTTTTTGAAAAGCTAGGTTACCGCTGTACAGTTTTACAGAAAGGCACAAAAGTAATTTGTGTCTATCAGTTTAGGAATTAGTGATACAAAAAGAATTCAAGAGATTTTTTTTATCCTCTCTATTTAATACACGCTAAACAGTGTTTTAATTGACTACGGTTTTTTTTCAAACGCATACCATGACTTTTACTACTACTACTATTACTACTACTACTACTACTACTACTACTACTACTACTACTACTACTACTACTACTACTACTACTACTACTACTACTACTACTACTACTACTACTACTACTACTACTACTACTACTACTACTACTACTACTACTACTACTACTACTACTACTACTACTACTACTACTACTACTACTACTACTACTACTACTACTACTACTACTACTACTACTACTACTACTACTACTACTACTACTACTACTACTACTACTACTACTACTACTACTACTACTACTACTACTACTACTACTACTACTACTACTACTACTACTACTACTACTACTACTACTACTACTACTACTACTACTACTACTACTACTACTACTACTACTACTACTACTACTACTACTACTACTACTACTACTACTACTACTACTACTACTACTACTACTACTACTACTAAAATATTTATCAGCACTTGCTGAAGATGAACAATGGTTAAATCAATAAGTAAACTGTACAGTTTAGATAAACAGTTAATACGATGATCACAAACAGCATTTATAACATACAGAAATATCATTATCTCATTGACATTCAGAAAATAAAATTTTGTTAAAATCAACGACTGTTTGACAGTAATAGTGAGCTTTTTTTGTCGGTTTATTCAGCTCAGTGAATGATAGTACTTTGTGCATATTGATACATATTTATACATATATTTGCTATGAGCAGGAATATCACCATTTCAGCAGTATGTTAATACATAATGATGACAAGTTTGTAATATTCAGTGGTTTTGATAGGCTTATTTGAGCATATTTCCCATCATAAGTCATTAAAATTATTTCCCTATTCATCATTTATTCTAATAATGATAATAGATGTTGGACAGGTATATGTACTATAAAAGGCTATGCAATTGTCGGAAATAAAAGAAATTAGTTATATCATCGAAACTTAATTATAAAACATCTGATTGATAACTGTCATTTAAAATGGATATCTTTTACAAATCACTGATCTTTGAATGACAACTTAACTAAGATCACATGAAATATCAATGACTTCATTTAAATCATTTGATGTTTTAATCATATGACGATACTGATTATCTTAAGGAATAGCGCTATGCTTTTAAAGTGTTTTTTACATCTGTCAACTAATGTTTATTCTATCTAGATATCCATACCCGTTCAAGTCAATAAAAATATCCTTAGTTGCATCAAATCACTTAGTTTAGTGAATTTTCTGAATAGGTTCTTTATTTTACCTATTTTTATTTTCATTTTATGCCACCCGAGTTGTTAACATTAAAATTCGAAATAATTGCTATTGCTGGAAATCGGTGGTTTTTTATCAGGAAAAGTAAATTGATTATCGGATTACTGATATATTTGTAATATCTCAATCAATAGAAAATTACATTTTCGATCTTTCGTCACTTCTTCGTCAATAAAATAAAAGAAATAGAGGATTCAGCAACATTAAATTAGTTATTTTATTCGACTTTATTCCTAAAGAAACACATGTCCTTAATGTTGCCACTGTGTATAATGTGCATAAAAAAAGTGACCATCATTAAAATAATGTTCTTTGAAGGTCGATTTTTAGTAAATCAATAAATGTTAAGTCACTTTATGCAATTTTTCAGATATTGATATTCTAATTGAAATATATTGATAAATGAAAAGTAACAAATCGATCGGACCTAAGCAGAATTCACTGATCCGCTTCTTAATAGAACCAGTATATCTGTAAACCACAGAATGAAGTGTGATTATTTATCAATATTGTTATTATCATTATTATTATTATGTTTATTAATATTTCCTTTCTTGTAAAGTTGTTGAAATTCAGGAAGAACGGTTTTCAAAAAGATATTTGAAAATGGAGATTGTTTCGAAAAGTTTTAAGCAATATCAAGTTAGGGTTATTTTTTTCACATTTCTTTGCATTCAAATTATTATCACTTGGTAAAAAAATTTCTTTAGAAAGTCTGCATCAGCCTTAATTAATAGAACAAATGGATTTGTAATCAACAGTGGAATCCAAGCTAATCGTTCACTTTTATTTGGACTCGGTTGACTGGATGTGTATGGATCTGAATGTTGATGCTCACACCGGTACTTAGACACAATACCTATTGTTTCAAATGCTTGATCCATTATCATCTGAATTATTGAGAGCCTTCTTTTGATGCTGCGGCTGTGATATTGATTACTTTATGTAAACAATGCTTGAAGTTCAATCAAGATATACAGTCATCAAAATACATTCTAATGCTGATGTTTATTTTAATTAGTATTGAATTTTCAATGAATAATACTCTTAATGCATGAAAATTTTGATTGCAATAATTTTTTATCACATGTTTCAGTTACCTTTTATTTATTCACTGATCATTTTATTATTTAATCAAAAATAACTTTAAAGCGGTTCTTGCTATTCAAATATAAGTTTATTAGTGTTCGATTAAATGTGAATAGTGGTTGTCCTTTTCAATCAATGATTAAAAACCTAATCATATACCGACTGCTGTACAACATTTGTACTGTCATTTATCTCTAGTCCTTGCAGCTTCTACTTAGAACTCAGGTATAAAGTAGATTGTACAGATAAAATTTACTTTCAACCTACTTGAAATCATCACATGAAAATATTAAAATTCAGTTTAAAAAAAAATTACTGTCAATACACTAGCTCAGTCACAGTGTTTCAAATCATTTTTCAATCACTATATTTTTAAGTTAAGTTGTTTGACACAAAGAACTGTTGATGAACATGCGAATTATATTGACTCTTCTGACAGAACCATTAATTTACTAGCTATTTTGCTATTCTTTGTGTTTTTAGATTTCAATTTCTATTTTTTTGCGGTTACACTCAATACGAGTTTTTTTTCTTGCAAAATTTTTCTTGGATTAGCCAGAAGTAATAGTAGTACCAAACCTTTTTTTCAATAAGAGCTAGAAATTTCAGGGTCTGGTTAAAAATATAGAAAAAAAGGTGATAATTATGTAAATTTGTTATGATCGTCGAACCAATCTCATTTTTGTAAGCAATGAAAATAATGGAGTACCGGGAAGCTATTTTGTCCTAATTTGGAGCAAGTGAGCAGCCCATATCCGCAGCCATACTGGGGATCATACTCCTTGACCTAAGGTCGCATTGCAGGCGCTTAATTTTTTGAACTATTGTTTTGGTATCCAGTGATATCAATGTCTAAATCTGAAGAATTAATAAGTTTAATTTTTTTATTTAGGTTAGCTTTATTTCGACTTATTCAATAGAGTGATCTCAATACATATTGCTACTGTAAAGTAGATCACAACTGTTATTTTTTTTCTTCCTATTATTCAGTCAGTTTACTTTTATCTCACATCATACATTGGTAGGTAAAACTAATTTTTTATAATTATAATTATAATTATTTATCACCATTTAGTAATTGAATCTGTTTTGTAGGTATAATTTTTGAACAGATGTGTGTATTGGTGATTTTTCTGAATCGACTTAACATTTAATCGGCATAAAACTGCATAATAATATGATTATGATTGTTATGTTTTTGGAGCGTACATAGTTCTATCAAAATTACACATCTTATCTTTACTGTTCATCTTTTCTCTATATGCATAATCAATGGAGAAGGCAAGCATCAAATTACTATGATGTGTATCTTTCGTTGTGATTCACTTTGATGAATCATCTCTGCACATCGTTATGGTGCATATAATGAATGTGTTATTAACCATGGTAAAAATTCATTTCTGTTGGTGGTGTATATGTAAATTATAAGGGAAGAGAAATAAGAAAACGCACATTTCCATGTAAAATGTGTTAGGGAAAAGAAAAATGATGTTTTATTGAGTTTTTTCCTTAATTCAAACAAAAACAAGAAAAAAAAAGGAAGAATAAATTAGATTTGAAACAAACATGAAAAAAAAACAATTTGAATTGTAGTGGAAATTTATTTAAACTTTTCAAAAACTTCACATGAACCGAGTAATCATTTGATTAAGTAAAATAATGTGAATTTATTTCAGTTTATTTCTTTTATTAAGTCATTCGTATAAATGGATTGTTATTTTTTTTATTCAGTGAATATTTTCTAGTCTAAAATACTTAAAAAAAACTTTATGGTCTCTCATACTTTTCATTAATAAATGACAGTTAACTTCAAGATCCCAGCTGCCTGTGCATATAAGTGACCTGTACTAAATCGGAAGGCACTGTAACGTTTCCTGGCAGGTATATCAAGAAATCAATAAAAGGACAACAAAAATATTCAACTGCAGCAGTGAACATTTAAGACTTGAGCAATACAGAACAAAGTAGTTGAATACATAGATGAATTTAACTTTAGACTTTTGAATAAAATGCCACAAATGAATATTTAAAAAGACAAGATTTCAAATAATATCCGTAATTATATTTGCTAAAGACTACAAGGCTTGATTAGGTACCAAGTTAGTTGACTAAGTGAATACATATTGATGTTAATCTCTAGCGAAATAAGCAGGTAATTATATACAAGAAGTTAGCAGATTGTTGGTCAATGCATTTTATAACTTATAAAACATTTTCAAGCTGCCTAACTAATAATTGTTTATGAATTAGGTTGAATGATTTTGTTTTCACATTCCTAATGTTTGTCTGATGTCTTGATTTTTCCTAAACCATAGACTTGTTGAAATCTGTTAAAGTTGGTTATTAGTAAACTATTTCTTTTTTTTCAATGACTGTAACTGTAATTAGATTTATGTAAATTCATATAGATGTCTGATTACTTTTATGAGAATACTTTTTATAAAAAAAATGATTAGTTAAATCATGCAATCAGGTGATAATCAGTGAAGAGTATAGCTTTATCCTTAGCATTTAACGTCAGTATAGTTATGATGAGTAAGTACTTATTTTATGTCTCGGTACCTAGATAATTTAGAATTCTATTAACTTTTATTTTGCGAATGTTTGGACTCAATATTACTAATAATTATTAGTTAAATTTATTAATTAATGATATCAATGATAGTTAGTTTTACAATAGCACAGAAACTCTTGATCTTTGAACTCAGTGAGACTGTTTTGTTCAGTATCTGTACTCTCTCAGTCACAACCGTCCTTTCGAATTATTCAAATGAAAAACCAAGTTATTTGAGCAGTAACAGAAATTTTACTCTCACATATTGTGAACAATTAAATGAATAATGACTGAGAAAATCTAGGAAGAATAATTATTTAATGCATGAACGATGTTAATATAAGGCTGAATATTGCAAAGAACTGTTTACGTTTAAATGATAAATTTGGTTTCGGTTCAGGTAAGCCGAACATGAATTAGATTAGACAAATAGTAACAGATTATTATTGTATATCACAAATTCAGCATACAATCAGGAGCTTTAGTTTCCGTAAAAATCGATTATCAAGGTCTCATCGATTTTTCGAATAATTCAATGAATATTAATTTCTGTATGAA